AATCAATATGGCGACATTATGCTAGATGCTCATTGATCCAGCAGTCTTATGTTATGCCTATGCTCTGTTATACATTTCATGTGTGAAGCCCTTAAAGGCTGCAGCACACACTTTTGCATAACGCATAACGCATAGTGCATAAGCGAATCAACTAATCAGAATCTTTCTTTTCCTCTTATTCCATGGAAAAGAAGAATTTTGATTGGTTAATTCCTTTATGCACTATGCATTATGCGTTATGCAAGATCGTGTGCTGCGGCCATAAAGTAATGCATAATGCATAAAGGAATCAATCGAAATTCTTTTCCATGGAATGAGAGGAAAAGAAAGATTCTGATTAGTTGATTCGCTTATGCACTATGCGTTATGCATTATGCAAAAGTGTGTGCTGTGCGGCCTTAAACATTACTGAAACACTACATTATTTAAAGTGCTACACATAATGGGGGAAGTATTAAGAGCAGGTAAAGATGTTAAATTTTTGAACGAAATTAAATTTGGAATAAAAGTTATAGCTATATCTTGTGTTAATTTATGTCCATTGTCATGGCCGTAGCACAGACTTTTGCATAACGCATAGTGCATAAGCGAATTAACTAATCAGAAGCTTTCCTTTCCTCTCATTCCATAGAAAAGAAGAATTTCGATTGGTTGATTCCCTTATGCACTGTGCATTAGGCGTCGTCTACAATACACGGAGTAAGAAGTAAGAGTAAGAAATTGACCAATCACAGTCGATTATTCTTCTCACATTCGACTGTGATTGGTCAATTTCTTACTTCTTACTCCGTGTATTATAGACAGGCCTTTATGCGTCATGCAAGAGTCTGTGCTGCGGTCATTACGTTTAATCTTTATTTTCATTTACAAAATTTAATATTTCCACTTGTCCTTAATATTTCATCTAGTATTTCATACACTAGGCTTTATATTTCCTTTAATGCAGTTTTAAAATGGGTTGTATGACAAATTATTGAACTTAGAAAATATTATACTAAAATAAACCTTTCAAATGACTAGTATGGAATCAACGCGGTAAGAAGAGCCCAAAAATACTTATAAATAAACGTTTATAAATATTTTTGCGTTCTTCTTACTTCCTTGATTCCATACTAGCCATTTGAAAAGTTTATTTTTTTATTGAATGATAAGGAATCCACTATGTTATTATTCTATTATAAAATAGCATTACATGTCAATTTCCATACATATGTGCATATATTCTATCACATAGATGAGAGTGCACTCAGCTGCAAAATCACAATATAATACTTAAATGTATTTATTATTTACGATTTAATATTGCAATATTGAAGCGGATTGTACTAATAACTATATGACAAATTATCGACTTACAAAATATCGCATACATCAACACATTGTATTATAATTATCTTCATCCTTTCTATCAATATGTGTATATAAGAATTTTGTTATATAAATGAGAATATAACAAGTTCTACAATCATAACACTCATGAACATTGTCTATCCTTAGCCTTATAGTTTTGCAACCTTGAAGTGGACTACACTTATGGACATATGACTGATTATCTTATCTAGAAAGCATGCCATGTATTGAAATTATATTTTAATTATGTTAATGATTTCTGTTAACCTTTTGAATATCAATAAACATCAAATGATAACATGCCTACATGTATGATTGGAAATCACTGGCACAATTAAAATACAATATTACATTTAGATGTCCTGTTTCTAGATTAGATAATCTGTTATAAAGTCATCAGTGCAGACCACTTCAAATCTGCAATGTTAAACCAATATTAAAATAGTGATAAATAATAATTATGAATATTGTGATTTTGGAATGCAAATTGCATTCTTGTACATATGACATGTATCACATTATATTTTAATTGTGAATGATTTCTGTTAACCTCTGGAATATCAATAAACATCAAATGATAACATGCCTACATATATGGTTGGAAATTACTGGCACAATTAAAATATAATATTACATTAAAATACAATATTACATTTACATGGTAAACATATTGATAGAAATCAATTATACATAATTAATGTGTTGTTAAATATGAAATTTTGTAGATAATCTGTCATACGATCAGTATCTTCATAGCTTCAATATTAAACCAAATGATAAGTAATATTTTTGTGTATTATAATTTTGCATCTTCTTCTTCGGGTATTAATAGCCCGGGTTCTTGCAGACGAGGTATACTTGGCCAGTCGTTTGCAAGACCCTTCCAACCTTCCACAGGAATTATGATTTTGCAGCTAAATACACTCTCGTCCATATGATAGAATACATGCATACATGAATAGAAATCGTCTTCTCCTTTCGAGTCGAAACTAGCGTTTTTGACGTTTTTATTCCTATCTAATTTCTTCGTAATAATTTTACAGAATAAAAATTTCTTCTCCACGATTATTTATATTTATGTATTTGCCCTTGGTGCATTTTGTGTCCAAAGCTGAAAAAAAAAATTACAAATTTTTTAATCCATTTTATTTCAATATGGCGACTAACACTGAAGATAAAAATGGATAAAGAGAATCGTAATTCATATTTTTCCAGCTTTGGACATAGCATACACCAGGTACATCAACATGAATATTTTAATCGTGGAGAAGGAATTTTTATTCTATAAAACTCTACTACGAAGAAATTAGACAAGAACAAATACGCTAGTTTCATCGGTAATACATATGGCTCCAGCATCCTCATAAAGACTATCACACACAAAATGGCTGCGTTCAGCAGATTCAACAGTTTTGCAACCGTTTTGTGAAGGGTCCTCTACATAGAAGTCGTAGATGGTCGTGGAGTCTTAAGTCGTAGGAAACCAACCAATCACAATCAAATGTAAGGAGAATACTCGATTGGAATTGGTCAGTTTCCTACGACTTAAGATTCCACGACCATCTACGACTTCTATGTAGAGGACCCTTGATTCTTCGCTGAGATAGAACTTTCCTTTAAATCTAAAAGTATAATCCAATCGGCGCGACGAATCATAAAACGGTTGCAAAACTGCTGAGTCTGCTGAACGCAGCCAATAATTTGCATAACTGCAACATAAAGTCGTTAGACCAATGAGCATCTTAAGCTCAAGACATAATGCGAGGAAACAGCGATATGCTGGATTCACACTGCATCCGATGTGCGTCGTACAACGG